ATCTATGAGAATGGAGGGCAAAGTCTCCTCCACTATTTCACCTATCACATCAACAAACAAGCACTCTTCCCCCTTAGGGGGTTGTTGGGATGCCTAAAACATATTGAGTTTCACTTTCATATTCCCAAATGAAGCATCCATGACCCCAATACGACAATTTATACATGTATTAGCAATTGCAAAAAATGGGTGACCTAAGATCATTGGGATTTGTTTCATAGTGTTAGCTACTGGTTCCATATCTAAAACCAAGAAGTCAACAGGAAAATAAAACCTATCAACCTTCACAAGAACATCCTCAATCACGCCACAAGGCACTTTGAGGGACCGTTCAGCTAATTGTAGTGTGACAATTGTGGGCTTTAACTTGCCAAGCCCAAATTTCTTATACACAGAGTACGATAGTAAATTGACACTCGCCCCCAAATCTAGCAAGGCCCTCTCAATAAAACGATCCCCTATGATGCATGTAATGGTTAGGGCACCTAGGTCTTTAAGTATTAGAGGTGTGTTACTCAGAAGAATGGAACTTAGTTACTTCATGAGTATGACCTTTTGGAACTCGTGTGTCCTAGATTTACACTTTTGTGTACATAGGTCCTTCAAAAATTTAGCATAGGAGGGTACTTGTTTAATTGCTTCCAATAGGGGGATGTTGATTTTAACTTGCTTAAAAACCACTATCATCGCCTCCATGGATGCTGCCCTCTTATCAAAAGGGAACGATGTGTTAAGGCATTGGGAAAAGGGTGTCGTAGGTACACTTGAAATACTAGGGGACAAGTCATCCCCTTTTGGTGTTACTCATTTACCCTTGCTCTCATCAGGTTAACCACCGTGGTCACCTTTCTTAGCCTTAGGTGCATCAAATACAACTAGTAAAGGTCTTAACTTCCTTTCACTTCACAAAATAATTATTGCCTACACCTATTCATGTTGTTTACCAATCCAACAAGACCCATCCATCCTATATTGACCCTTAGGGTTGGCCACAATCTCACTCGGTAATTTTCCCTTCTCTCTCTTATTCATATTATTAGCTATTGCCTCAAGCTTGGCAATGGAGTGAGTGTGGGAATGAACTACTAGTGCTAGCCCCTAGAGGTTTGAGAGAACTTCCAAAACCTGAGCCTCGAAGGTTGAATTTCCTTGAGGTGCAGGTGGGGGTAGTGGTTGTCGATAAGGTTGTGTAGGCAATAGGAAGATTGATTTGCAAAATTATTAAAATTCTGCCTTGGTGGTTGAGAAGGGTAAGAAGTGCCTTGTGATAAGGATCTCCATGAATGATTCAAGTGGTTTCTCCATCCGGGGTTATATGTGTTAGAGTATGGATCGTTACTTGGTCTAGAGAATCCTTAAACCACATTTACATGCTTTTGGACTAACTCTGGAAATTGTGGTGCCAAAAGGGCACTCGCTCAAGTCATGAGTAGAGCTCACACAAATAGCACAATCCTCATTGAATTGAGGCTGTACTTGTTGTGTAGAGGCATACCCTAAACCTAAAAGTTGGTCCATTTTGCGGGACAAAGCTTTGATTTGTTGGGCTAACTCAACATTGCAACTAGCCTTATAAACGCCGCACCTTTTCGAGGCTCTAGTAACAGGTTACCAGGCTATGAAGGTATGGTGAAGAGAGTTATCATTTAGGTTTTCAAAAAGTTACCATGCCTTAGCATCGCTCTTTGCCATAAATGTCTCACCACAGGATGAATCCACCATTTGGTAGTAAGGCTTATTTAATTCAATAAAATGTCTAAACAAGTTTCCAATCAGGCACTTGGTGGTGAAGAAAATGTTGGAGAAGGTCTCGAAGTCTCTCCGAAATCTCATGAAATTGCTCGCCATCATTTTGAGTGAAATTTGTGATGGCTCACCTCAATTGGTTGGTCTTACCAATGGAAAAGTACTTCTCCAAAAACTTTTGCTGTAATTGGTCCCATGTTGTGATAGAATTAGTAGCCAATGAGTTCAACCAATGTTTGGCCTTTTCCTTAAGTGAAAACGGGAATAGTCTCAACCTAAGGGCCTCATCAGTGAAATTCTGGATTTTCACTATAGAGCAAATTTCTAGAATTTCATGTAGATATTTGTAAAGGTCATCAAAAGCAAGTCCGTGGAATGATGGAAGCATTAGAATAGTGTTGGAATTAATCTCATAGTGGGCAGCAGTGGTGCCCAGTAATTGAATGCATGATGGTGAAGTGTATGCAGTCGGTGTGAAATAATGGTCCAATTGGGCTCATTAGGAATAAAATTAGGTTCAGCCATTTCTATTGGCTCTAGATATGGATATTCAATCCTAAGAACACGGAAAGAGGCTCTAAGGTTCCTAAGAGTCCTTTCTAGTTCAAGGTCCAAATTCGAAAGTTCAAGGTGGCAAGAACGTCACCCGTGCATACACTACTCATACACACTAAGTTTCGACTCTTGTGTATCTAATGAAACAAAATGTCAAAGGAAAAGAAATATTTATAGGGATTAACGAAAACGCTTTGTTGGCCTCGCGAATGCTCAACATGTAGACCGTTGTCCCCAACCTCTGCTTGTGTTCCCGCTTTTAACACTTTGGTGCTTTGCTCGCATGTTTTGCTTTTAGCACTTTAGTGCTACGGTTTTTCTTTTATTTTTTATTTGAAGCTTGGTTGTGCTCCGCTTCGCACTATAGTGTTAACTCCACTCACAGCAAATTTTGCACAATTTGCAACACACAAGAGTAAAATCCTAAACTAAAAATTAAAATAAGAATTTAACTTTCAATTAATTAATTTTTCCAGAAGTCCCCGACAACAGCGCCAAAATTTGATGCGTCGTTTAACACACCAAAAATAAACATTGAACTATACCTAATTCCTCAAAATAATGGCAAGTCCAGATATCAATCCACAAAGACTAACGTAAAACTAAACTAATTTAACTTGCAAGATTACTAAATTAATTTTGATAAAAAGATTGATAAGAATTATATTAAAACTAGAATTAAAATGAAAAAGAGAAATTAAATTAACAATGAAAATTAGGGTTAGTGAAATTGATTTTTGGGAATCTTAGGGTAAAGGATCCACCACTAGTCACATAAATAAGGTTTAACATTGGCCATTAATTATAATCCCCCAGTGATTCGCAACCATAAGTTTGAAACATTGGTCAAGAGGATTGTTACATTCAACTTATAGGGATGAATCATCTCAAGTAGTACAAGTCATTCGCTCTAAACTAAAGTAGCAACATGACTCGTCTCTCATAGCATGACTTGTCTCATATTTTGAACACAAACACGAAAAAAATGATTATATGGAAAGCATTTAACAATCATAGAAAGTAAAATACTCAAGGAGGTGAAAAGAAATGTTATTAAAATCTTCTAAAACATCTATACATTTGTTCAAACCGTTACACAATCAAAGCTAAGAAAACATATTTACATAGCTGTAATTTCATCAAAACCTTAGAAAATGGAAGACTATCCAGTCATGGAGGAGTGAGAAGAGATAGAGGGTGAAGCTACCATGAAAGACAACCTTAAAGCTCCAAGCTTTTCTCTTTCAAAACCCTAGCCTCTCTTGTTCTTTAGAAAATATCATAACCCTTTTCCAGCTTTCTATTCTTCTTTTTATACCTTGCAGACAGTCAAAATAGGTTCAAAAACCCATGCATAGAAATCGAGGTGGACCCACATGTGCGAGAAATACTGGCCGCATGTACGGGAGAGGCGCCGCATGTGTGGGAAGACCCTCTACACTTGCAGGAAAAGCTTTGATTTGTTGGCTTCGTTGTAGTTCCATTTTAGCCACTTTTTAACTAGTTTTACACTTATGCATGCCCAACCTGATTCAAATTAAATACTTGTGAAGTATGCCAAGTTATATGAAGAAAAACATTAAATAATATCTATTATCGACCTTTATGTAACACATCTCAGCCTTAATATGTAAAGGGCCTAATTGGGTCATTGTGGTTAACATCCCGATCAAGTGGCTCTTCTAGTTAGACGAGTGCGCTTCTCAACTAGGTGGACCTCCTATTCAAGCAAGCACAAAACTTGGAACTAGACCTTAGTAAGGACAAGCCTGACCCCAAGCTTGACTAGGGTCCTTCCGGGCAAACTAACCTCCTCCAAGCTTGGGCTCAAATGCCAATGGGCTTCTGCTCATGGGCCACAACTAGATCATCATCAATACTCATCAACTTCTAACTTTTATATATGAGTTTTGTTAATAGCTGTACTAAACATACTTGTGCAGAATGCATTAAATATGAAGAAAAAAAAGAAAGATATAAATATATATTGATAGAGACTAAACTGTCTTTTTCTTTATTCCTTCTATTTTAACATGATATACACTATAAGAAATTTGTCTTTTGAAAATTAATATTTAGGGACTAATTAAATTTAGTCGCAAAAAATATTCTTTTAGAGACAAACTTAATATAAGATAATTTCCCTATAAAATAATAAAAATGACTATTAATATTCTCACTTAATATTTATATAATTTTTTTAGGCCAATAAATTTGATTGCTAATATATTATTACATCTTTTTTTTTTAACCAATATATTATTCGACAATGCTAGGTAGCTCAAAATTTTGTGGTTCAAATAGCTCAAATCTGTCAAAACGACGTCGTTTTGACAAATTTTGAGTATAAAACGACATCGTTTTGACAGATTTGAGCCATTTGAACCACAAAATTTTGAATTACCAATCATTTTCCTATATTATTACATCTTTAGGAACAGATATTTTCGTCATTATTAATTAAAAACATTTTGAGCATCATTTTAACAATTAAAAAATCGGGACTCACTTCAGCCCTAACTTGCTCATTCTCTCTTCAGCCCTAAAGTCGGGAGCTTCAAAGCAGATTGGGAGCTCAATCTTCTTCAAACTTTGGTGCGTCTCTCTCTCTCTCCCTCTCCGTAATCGATCTCCGTAATCGACCTGTAAGAGCTCCAATTCAAACTTTCAATTTCTTATCGTAATCGACCTGTAAGAGCTCTAATTCGAACTTTCAATTTCTTATTATTTCATAGATTGAACTTTTTTTGTGTGTATATATATATCTTAATGCGTGTTGGAATTGAAGAATTCTTTACATAGATTGAACTTGTGTGTGTATATATGTATATCTAACCTAATGCGTGTTGGAGATGAAGAATTGTTTTCTCGCACAGTTTGATCAATACTGTATTTCGTATGCTGTTAATTTGTTGTTTCAGTGAGTTTTCAGGTGTTACACTATCATTCTCTATTTTTGATTTTCAATTTCTGATTATTACATAATTGATTTTCATTGATTTAGAAGCCAATTATGGAAAAGTAAAAAAAAGAAATATCAATTATGGAATTGTGTGAGGGTGTCTTTTACAGGTGAGTACGAGATTGCATGTCACATGCCTTTAAAACAGCTACAGAGGATAAGTAGATGAGAACACAAAAAAATAAAAAAATAAAAAATTGAAGTAGCAGAGTACATTGAATTACAGAAATTTTGGAAGGATTTGATATTTTGCATGCCTGAGAAAGAATGAGAGAGATTTAAAAGGGAAATGGTAACATACCTTAAAATAGAAGGCACTGATAGTTTAGAAGCTACAGGTCCAAATATCAGACTCCTGTGACATCCTGAGAAGCACTCTTCTTACGATGTCACCTGGATACATACCTGATATCATTTTCTCAAAACCCCGCAGCAAGATCATCATGGTTGTGTTATTCACAAGATTATTGGAGCAAAGCGGAGGAAAGGGGACCAATTTAACAGCGATTGAACCTTGCTTGATCATTTGGGTTCGGGCTATCGGCATCTAAATCAGTATCGTAAGATGTTCTTGGCAGATGAGATGACCAGAAGTTTCCCCATTCCATGTTAAACTACCTAATTAATAAATATAAGAGCATAAGTAAAATTAGCTATCGTTTCCCCCAAATTTCAGTGAGTTTTCAGGTGTTACACCATCATTTTCTTTTCCATAATTGATTTTTTTTCTTCTCTGTTTTCTCTCACTAACAATAAGAATGATGAATGAATCGTCTCTCACTGGGCCATATGTATGTAGTATTGCTGTCAAACTCTTGAGATCTTAATGACAGTAAATTGCCTGCTACTCAACTAATGACAGTAAATTGCCTACTACAAGAAATTAGTCTTTTACGGACTACTATTTAGGGACTAGTTAGATTTGGTCCCTAAAAATAATCTTTTAGAGATAAATCTAAACTTATGATAATTTACTTATAAAAATGACTCTTGATATGTTCCCCGTGTCATTCAATTTTCAAACTTACATATTTTGAACTAAGAAACTGCATTATATTAAAAATCAGAGAGTACGTCCAACAAAACTTGCTACTTCTTGGAGCCTCCTTTCCGCATTGTGGGCTAACTGTACCCAGGGGTGGAACTACCATGGCACTGGAGGTGGCCATGGCATCCCCAATTCTCCGAACATTTAATATATATTTAAATATACACTATAGTTACATATGTAATGCTTGGCATGGGATGGGTGCTTAGTTATTTTGAACTGTCTGTGTAATGACATTTGAATTTCCTGTAAAGTGATTTTTTTTTTTTTCCGTCTTGAAATAATCTATTAGCAGTTTGGTTTATTGCATATTTTTTTACCATAAGTTCTCTTTCATTCTTATTTCTTTTTCTTTTTCTTTTTTCTTCTGTTTTCAATTGCTAATATGATATATGAATTAATGGTGTTCTTGGTAATACATATCTTTGCTATCAGATCATTGTGATGATAGTGGTGATATTGTGATCCTTTAATACATAAAAAATGAGCAAGAAGTTGCCCCTAGTTTTTCTGGATGTGTCTATTGATGGCGATTCTGCTGAAAAGATGGTTTTTGAGGTATTTCTATATTTTGAACTAACCTACTATAGTATCAAGTTAAATATTTTCTACATATGCAATTAAGTTGAAACTCTTGTTGTTTCTTCTAAAGCCTTAGATACCTTGTTTTCGATGTCATATTTATTTCCAAAAATTGAATGGTTGCAGTTAGTTCATTGGTGATCTTTGGTGATACAGCTTTTCTCTGATGTTGCTCCTAAGACTGCGGAAAATTTTTGTGCACTCTATACAGGTAAGTCTTCTGTTGGTATCATAAGTTAAAATTTCCAATACAAGCTTCTCCCTTTCTAATGAGTCATATTTCTTTCATGGCTTCATGTTTTACTTGATTTGTTGCATTTCAGTATTTTTTTAAATAAAGTCTGACTTGTAACTTCTTTTGTGCATGCTAATCCAGTTTGTCGTTGATAGTGGATTATTTTATGTGTCTGATACTTAAAGATATCATATTTTACAGGGGAGAAGGGAATTAGTCCCAAGACTGGAAGACCCCTCCACTACAAAGGATCCTTTTTCCATTCCATTATTAAAGGATCAATGGCTCAGGTATGTCCTTTGCTTCTTATGCTTGAGAGTGCTTCAATGGATAGAATGTGATTGATTGCCTACATGCATAGTTTTTCTGGTTAAGAATGACGTAGATGTGGCCTAAAAATTGTCTTTTAGTCAGCTATCCTTGTTTATGCTGTAGGATACAGGGCTGATGGTCACGACTGCTTTTCTTCTGATGTAGTTTTAAGGTTGTACTTACTATCCTAAGAAATTTACTAAACTTTGCAGTACCCAACCCAGTTTTGTAGTAAAGGTTTACTTTGTAATTACCAGTTCACTAATTCTTATTATTTATGCTACAGGGTGGTGATTTTCTTAAACGAGATGGTATGTATTCCTTGGACTTGACAGTCCATTTTAATTTTTTACCATTATATTGTTTAGAGGTTGCGAATTCAGGAAAATTATTGTGTGGTTCCCTTCTATACATATATGTGCCATGGATGCTCTGCTTTTCTATTAAAACTAACTTTTGTTTTATTTTTATTTATTTGTTCCATTCTTTTTCCAGCAATTTTGGCAATCTGATTCTTAAAATTGAATTCCCAATCCAAGTAAAAGAAATCTGCTTATTATTTTTGGATTACTATGAATGGCAATATATTAGCTATAACAACCACAACTAGCTGAGTCCTATTTAATGAATTAGGAATCATTTAGAAACACAAATATCATGAATACATGTATAAGTGATAAGCACGTGCAATCATGAATGCAAGTTGCAACTTAGCATATTTTGTAGTTTATCTAGCTGAATGTACACTTAGGTATCTTATGCTTGTATTATCAGGATGCTGTATATATGAAATGACTTCTCATAAGCCTGCATTTAAAGCATTTATAAGTTTCAAGAGCTCTGTTTCCTCTGTTTTTGTCAGAATTATGTGGTCAAGCTTTCTTCCGAGTGTCCTGTGGTAAATGTTCTGTTAGTTGGTACTGAATATAGTTAAAACTGACCATGGATATGGCTATTATTTTGTTATGTAACTTTGTGAACAATACAGGTGATAGGGTCATATAAAAACATTGATTCATAATTTTAAAAACATGATTCATTTTATGGTTTGGTTTAGTTTGCGAACTTCTAAGAGTGTCTTAATTGTTTCCCCCCTCCCTGCTACAATGCGTGCACACACAAATTGGTCTTCCTTTTCATTTTAGTTTGATATTTTAACATTGTAATCCTGACCTAGCTTGTTGATCCAGATCCTTACAATTAATTATTGTTCTGTGCTTTTGATCCTTCCACAAACGTATACCTAACAGTTGTTTTGATTGATTGGCAAAATGGAATGCATTCTCTTTGTCCAGCTGTGTGGTCTAGCATAGAAGGTGGCTGTTGATGTCAATGATCTGTCTAAATCCTTTAACATGTGTAAGTTTGAAACAATGATCATACACATACACTGGTAGGATGTGATTGGTGTCTCATTAGTTCTCCTTGATCAGATTATGTACCATTTTTACTTTTAGTCACCTATATGAATGAGTATTGAGATGAAGCCTTGAAATCATTGTAGCTAGAATAGATGTATGATAATATTGAGATTTTACTAAGCAATTGACAAATCGTGATGAGTATTATGCAATAGAGCTCTTCATGACTAGGTAACTCTCTAATGTTTATCACATTTTTCTTCTCTAGTGTCAATGAAGATGAAGGAATGCCAGGCAGGAGCAGATTGGGCAAGAAGGGGAAATTTTGGTTTTAAATAATTGTGTCCCTCTCTACCTTAGGGAGCTTTGTTGTTTGTGATGCTGACGAGGAGTCCCTTGATGAAAAGTATAAGAAGCTTCGCTGTGACATTGCTCTGCTTCCTCATGATAGCAACGATTATCAGTTGAGTGAGAATTACTTGATATGTCAATTTTTGGAAACTTTGAATTTGGAAACTTTTTAAAAGCATTTTGAAAGTTTGAGTTTGGAAACTTTGAATATACTCAGAGCTATGTACTTATTATGATTTGGTAATAGAGTGTCTTTGATGTGTGGATGTCAATTTTTTTTTTAAAATTATTTTATTTTATGATTGGATGACATTTAATTTTTGTGTATTTTTAGCTATCCCAACTTTGATTTTTAGCGACAAAAATGTGTTGTAGAAAAAGTTATTTGTCTTTTAGCGACCAAATATCATTGTTGTTAAAAATGTCATTATTTTGTTTTTCACGACCAAATTGGGATTTTTTATGATGAAGGATGAGCGGCCAAATTTTTAGTCTTGTAAAATCAAACATTTTGTGACAAAATGAAATTGGTCACTAATTGTTATTTTCAGTGACATTTTCAGTGACATTTTCAAAAATTTGTTGCTAAAGACTTTTCTAGACACATTTTTAGTGACTTTTAATGACGAATTTAATTTTGTCACAAAAATCATTTAAAGACCAAAATAATAATTTTAGGGACCAAAATAATTGGTGGTCAAAAGTCTTATATGTTGTAGTAATATTTTTCATAATGGAGTTTGTTTTTATTTTTTATTTTTAAATAAAGGACATATAAAAATTTATTTTAAAAAAAAATTATCATTTTTTTATCATAAAAGTGAATGCCTTTAAAAAATTAAATGGTGTAAGGAAAGTAAAGGACATATAATTTTTTTTATTTTTTGTTTTCAAATTTAGATATATTTTTTTACACCATATAATTTAATTATGATTGAAAATAAAGGGAAATTAAAATTTTTAAAAAATCCCAAAATTTATTTGAAAATAAAGACATTTACTTTTATGAGTTCATAAAATGTGAGGTCTCTGTCAATGCACACCTTAACTAATGAATTTACTTGCCTAATAGTTAAGCCATGACTGACTGATTTTGAAGATCAGTTTTTTCAACATGATGTAGACAAATGGCTAGCATTTTTTTATTCTAAGTGCTGTGTATAATACAAATGGTAAAATTGATCCTTGTTCAGGTAAGATACCGTTTCGATTAGCTAAATAAGTCAACTTTATTTATTCATGTAGTTAAAGAAAATTTAGTGGAAACTCTTATTTTATACACTCGTAACCTAATAGATCATATATGTATTTTTATGTCCCAATTAATCCTTAGATTTCCGAAGAGTTACCAAATAGAACTCATAGTATAGCGATCCCGGGTTTGTCCCCTTTACGTACAGTGTTCCGAACTTAGGTTCCGTGGAGTAGGTAGTTATATACCTTGTTGACATCCTTCAATTCTCTATGTTTGAGTTTTAGGATGTGTTGGACGTGTTTCGAACTGGTAGGATGAGTTTTGGTCTCTAGTGTTGTTGCTCAGGTTTTTGGTGTTACGCTCGATCGTATGATTATGCGCTCGAGCGGAGTTCGTTTCTTTGGTGGTACGCTCGAGCGAGTATTATTACGCTCGAGCGGGGTTTACACACTCCCAGTATTTCGCGCCTCTGCAAAACTTCTGCAGGTATGTTTTTCACGCTCGAGCGGTTTTTTTTACGCTCGAGCGGTTGGCGCTCGAGCGGGTATGTTGGAGCTCGAGCGAGTAGCTCATTGTCTGTAGAGAACTGGGAAAGGAGAATCTACGCTCGAGTGGACTGGTGATTCGCGCTCGAGCGGATGTGTTTTATTTCTGTTTCTTGGAGCTCGAGCGGGCATTCTTGCGCTCGAGCGGGTCCAGTTTTTGTGCTTGACGCTCAAGCGTTCTATTCTCCGCTCGAGCGGATCATGCGTATATCAGTTGGCAGCTGGGCATTCTTGAATCACTTTTCAACTTCCACTCTCTCTCTTACTTTTCCGAAAAGTCATTTTTGAGAGCTTCTCTCACTACTTTCTCCCTTCTCTCTTAAGATTGATCTAGTTGGAGTGTTCTCCTACCCTTTGGCCTTTACAAAAAGTGTGTTGATCGTCGAGAGCTACATTTTGATCCGAAAAGTTTGGAGTTTGGAGTTTGGAGCACTTTAAGTTTGGTGTCCTCCTCCGTTGGAGCTCTAACTTCGAGGTAGGGATATCCTACTCCTCCTTATGAGCTTTGTCTATGAATTTTAGCATTTTGATAGGTTGGGGGTTGTTAGGTATTTTTGAGAAAGTTTGGGTCCTTTTTGTAATTTTACAAAAGATGGGGGCTTGTCGTATGTGAACCTATATGCATGTTTAATATAGGGAAATGAGGCTAATGTTGAACTATTGAAGAAAATGGAATCTTAGTATTGTTATGTAGATTATGAGTAAAGCCCTAATTACATTGATAAATTAATTTGTATAAGTAATTTAGGGAATTGAAAAATTGAATAGAAAATATTCAAATTAGAAGTTGGACTCACTTGTCGCTCACTTAATTAAACTGTTGATAATATATCAAATTGGTGCATTTATTTCCTGTTTAGAAATAACTGTATTGGACTATCAGTGGAGAATAGTCCTGATTGTTGTAGGCAATGTATGATGATTAGGCAAACTAAAGCTAATCTATTGAGTATGCTAATGAACATGGCAATTGGTTTAATACATCAAAATTTTGTATTGATAGGTTGAATTTGTATATGATAATTGTTTATATACATTGTATTGTGTGGGAAGAGAACGGGGCTGTACTCCACGGTTTATTGGAAGAACGGGGTTGAACCTCTAAACCGAATCTTGTGACAGTGATACAGCACTACAATGTGTATCAGGCTGCGAATTAGAAGTGTTTTCTTGTGACAGTGATACAACACTATAATGTGTATCAGGCTGCGAATTAGAAGCGTTTTTTTTTTTTTTCATTTAATACAGCACTACAATGTGTATTATTCGAGACTTATGGAAGTGTTTGTTTTGATTTGATATAGTACTAAAATGTATATCATTTGAGAAATATGAGAATGTTTTTGTTTGACTTTGATACAGCATCACAATGTGTATCCACCATAAATTTCGAAAATGTTTTAGTGATGAACTATAATTTCATCAAATGTTTTGGCCAGGGTACTGAACCTCGTTTTCAGACTCAAAGTTGAATAAGAAATGGAAAGTGAATTTGTAATATGGACATGATTATCATGGAACAGTAATGTGATATAAGTGGATGTATATGAGTTGACCATCTAGCAACTGCTAATCTTTTAGTCATTGTTTATAGTTGGTTTGGTGTATTTCTACTGGGCTGTGGCTCACCCTATATGGGACATCATTTTCAAGTACAGGTAGCATGCCACCTCCAAGGACATAGCTTGGAAGGCTAGAGGCAGACAGACTTTTGTTGTTGTGTTATCCTTTGCTGTATTACCTATAAAATCAAGCCAAGGGCTTAATGTGTATTTGAGTTAGTACTCTCTTTTTTTGTAACCAAGTGTTAACTTGGAAAAACTGTAAGCCCCTAGGGCATTTGCTTTGGTTACTAGCATGTAATATTCTTGTAATGATTTACTCTAATGAACAGAAGGATGTTATCTTTTATATCAATGCATGTCAATGTTAGTGGGTTTAATGCTAGTATTTTGAGGGCGTTACACATAGTACGATCTTCAATGAATTTTCATAATGACATGGAGGAAGATGAACTGTGGCTCACATTGGATAGTCTTCTAGGTAGGAAAAGGCAAAAACACCGAAAGGGAGAAAGGGAGCGAGATACAGTTAGCGAGCTGTGAGAGAGACAAGCATAGATCTAAATGTCGGAAAATTAGAGCACCAATTCAGATATGGACAAGTATAGCGGTGAGAATGAAATTTATGGTCGTAGCATCGAGTCCCGGTACGTAGCAGCTTGAATCCGATACATAGGGCGATACAGTTCGATACAGTTTCATAGTCGTCGGTACAGATGAATCAACGCAGAGAACCTGCAAGAGCAAAAGTAATTACAGAAAAGAAAAGAATAACCCATCACATACATCACTCAAACCTTTCACTTCAAGTGCTTTGTCTTCTTCAAGCAATTTCACACTTTCACGGACCATAAATTTGCTTTTGTTTATAGATTTGTAGTTCACAATCAAACTTCTTTATTCTGTTCAAAAAAAAAAAAATCAAACTTCTTTGTGGCTTGGTCCCGTAGATCTAAGCTTCTTTAGGCTGTGGAGTTCACTTCGACCTTCAAGCTTCTTCAAAGAAGGTTTGTCCTTGAGTTGCAAGTTGTAATTTGTGTTGTGTTGTTGTGCTCTGTTTTTATGAGTTGTGGGTTTTGCTATGCTCTGTTTTCTGTTTCGTATTTCATCACTTTTTTTTTTTTTTGGTCTTGTTTCAATGTAAATGTTTAGGGTTTTTTTTTCTATTTTATTTGAAAATGAGTCAAAAGTGTTCATACATATCAAAATTTTGATTAAAATGTGACAAATTAAGGCTAAAAGAGTCCCAAAAAAAAAATGCATAAAATTGAGTTTCAGAGGGATTGTGAATGATTTTTAAAATTTCATGGCAGTGACACCCAATTCCCAATACGTATCGGTCGATATTACCGATACCAATATTCCACGATCGATGCCGTTACGTTACCTGATACAATGATTTACAACTATGGAGATAAGTGTCCATGAGAGTTTGGAATCATGTGGCGAGAGAGTGGAAAGGACAATGGGAGGGGTTCAGAGTCGGTTGCCATTTTTTTTTTTTTTTTGCATTAAAAAATAGAAGGCTCAATATTAAGCTTTTGTAATCTAATAATTTGTAGGTGGAGTACATATAATATACACCTTAAAAGAGAATGTGTATTTTAAAGGTTCTTCAAAGATAAACATGTTACATGTCTAATATTGAGAATAACTGACCTTCTGCCATCATTTAAAAAAAAAAAAAAGGGTGAATCCCAGCAAGGTTATCAGCATTTTGATTTATACACACACGCGGCGCGCGCGCGCACGCACACACACACATATATATATATATATATATATATTGTGGGGACATAATTTTTGAATGACGATACGTGGTCGAGGTGTCACCGGAGTGCCAGTCAAGGTGCCACGTGTCATGGTCATGATGCCAAAATAGTCTCGGTTAGACCGAGGTTATCTGCGAGAATACCGGAATCCAGGGTAAACGGATAAGGGACAAGAGTCCTAGATTGGGAGAGAACTTCAGTTTGGGTAAGGATAAGACTGTTAAAGAGTTTATCCCGAACCTACTGGGAGTCCAAGATTAACTGTAATCCAGAATCCATTGGAGCTAAGCTTCTATTGGGATTAGGTTAGTGTTGACTATAAAATAGAGGCACCCTCGTGGGTCTAAGGTACGCTTTTTATATTCTAAATAGTGAGCACTTTGGCTATCTTTGAGAGATAACTGACTTGATCGTCGAAGTGTCCCCGAGTGGACGAGCACTTTGGCTATCTTTGAGAGATAACTGACTTGATCGTCGAAGTGTCCCCGAGTGGACGAACCACCACCGGAATCTCTTCTTTTTGTTGACAGGTCGTTCAGGCTTAATCTATTCTGTCAGTGTTCTTCAACTGAGTACCTGTTTAGCAATGTGGTCAGAAATTGACACACACACACACACACACACATATATATATATATATCTTCTCAAAAGTTTACTAAATAAGGGGTCAACGTAGAGGATTCCAATGAGTTAATAAAAAATGTTTGATATCTAATTTAATATTTAAAATTACAATGAAATGTATTAAGTGAAATTAATCAAGTTGGTTTGATAACCATAATTTATATACGATATAAAAATTTAAGTGACTTTTATAGTGTAAATTTTTTTTATAAAAATTGAAGTAATATAATATTTATTTAATGCCGATTGAATTTACAATCACCACTACCATCCCACCATCACCACAACACTATCCCTCCACCTCCACCACTATCGTCATAGTCGCTCCCATTGCCACCACAATATAAAATTGGAAAATAAAATTCAAATATAATATTTTTTATTTTTTTCATATTCAACAAGCTATTTGAATTTATCAATTAAATTTTTATCAAACAATTGCTCAACTTAAAAATTTTAACTTTCAATTTTATCAAACCCCAACTACTTAGAAAGTTTTATGAAAAAAGGCTCATCTCAATTAAGTTGTTACACGACCTAAACCAATTGTGAGCAAACACCTTAACCACAAACAGAGAAAAAAGATGAACATATTGGAAAGAAGAGACAAACAAAGCGTACGCACCTGCATTAAAATAAATTACATAGCACTCTCTCAAACTAAACTAATCAACAACAAAGTCTACTGTCAAGACACTAAGAAATAAAATCCAACCAGAATAAGAGCAAAACCAAGATGAATAGCGAGTCATTAGCAAACTGTCTTCTCGAGTGAATGGATTGATTCCCTAGAGAGCACATCCATGTCCGAACCAATTAAAGCAAAATACATCCTCTGCCATGCTTCAAAAACCTTAGCATCCTCAAGAATCTCCAGCACATAACAAATTAACGTCACACAACATAACATAATTATAAAGAGAGAATAAGAATTATTGCCAACTGAATCTCTCGCTAGTCCCAAAGAAACCAATTGCCAAGGTCGTGCACAAAGGTTGAGGTTATAGATTATTACAAATCGGACAATTCAGATCATTCATGCCAAGTTGGTAGACTTTTTTGCTTGCTGGATGCACGGCAGATGCATTTCCAGGAACGACATTTCCATAGAGAGAGAATTGTAATTGGGATGCTTCTTCACTAGTTGATTGGCTACTCTTCTCTTCTTGCTCCTTGTACACAAGATGGACTCCGACCTCCTTCACTTGAAAAGATTTATCTCCAACCACAGAAATATTCAGTTCATCCCCACCTCCCAGCTGATTTTCAAACTTCCAATAACTTAACCACATCATATCCTCATCAGCTTCTGGAATGCCAAAGACTTTCGGACAATGACTCCATATCAAACTCTTGGTCATATTACTGATAATAGTATGTGCGCTAAAATTAAATCTACGACGTATTGGATTATTGCAAAGTGCATACATAGAACACACACTCAAGGCTTGAATTCTGAAATTCGATGGCACAGTAACAGATATTGATGATCCTGTATTTTTAAGACTAAACCAAGCTGGAATCTTGCTTCCCGGAAGATAAGCGTAAAATATATGTTGTTCATGACATCCCTGTACCAAAGAAACCATAATTTAACCATTACAATTTTTTATTATTTTTATTTTTATTTATAGAGAGAGAGAGAGAGAGACCTGTAAAGGAAGCTTCCTTCTAGTTAAGAAGAAGCCTGAAAGCGTAACAGTTGAGCTTCCGTTGGATCCAAAGCTGGAGATGCCCAAAAAATTTAGTATCTTCACGTCAATATTCCCTATGGGTTCTAACTTCAATTCTCCTGCAACCTCAACCATATTGTAACAATCACCACCGTGTAGATATGATCTCCAACTCTTGTTCACAACGAATTGATTCTCCCTAATCTTATTACGTTCCAGGTTAAATGGATTTGAACCCTGTAAACATTTTGACCTGTACAATTCTGTCAATTTATTCCACATTATATATTCATCATGAACGTTATTTAATTCTATGGTTGATGGAACTGATCGAAATGTTACTTTCTCCAACAATGTACAGCCAGAGAACATCAATACTTTCACATTCTGCTCCACTATAAGAGATTGAAGCCTTTTACACTTACCTAATCCAAGGATTTGAAGTCCAGTAAGACCTCTGATGCAATTCGGGAGGCTACAAATTGGATTATTGCTCAGATTTAATATTTGCAATGAGGATAGGTTGCTAAGATCCTTTGGAAAAGCATCCTCTGATAAATTGCAATCCACAAGACTTAAGTGTACCAAATATCGTGGTAAAAGAGCACATGAAATTTCTACACTTTTTCTTGGTTTCGATAGAGAAGGCCAGATGAATGAATACCATGATTTGATCTCCTTAGTGGTAGAGAGTAATTGAATTATGGCAATTCCATTTGCATTCAACTTTGTTAAAGAATTCATACTCCCTATCTCTGTTGGCAATTCATTAATATTTGAGCAACCTGAGATGTCAAGTGTTTCCAAAAATTTTAGCATAACAATGCTTCTTGGAAGCTTTCTTAGATTTTTGCAATCTTTTAAATTTAATAAAACAAGTCTCCGAAGGTGTCCAATAGATTCGTGAATATCTACCAGTCGTGCACAATTTTCAAGTATTAGTCGCTCAAGATTGGGTGTTTCCAAGAAATCAGGAGTTTCGGAAAGGCAGTGGGAATGACTAAGATCAAGGATTTTTAGTGACTCGAGAAACTGTAATAGAAAAAAAAATGTTGGTTATTATTGCTTCTTTTAATTCTTGAACAAAATTGAAATGAAAACAAACAAATGAGTAACATACCTTGGTTCCTTTCCAAACTTTTTGCAAGTTGCTATACTGCATGTCAAGAACAACCAGGTTATCCAAAGGAAAATCATCTGATATAGAGTTGAAAGAGCATCCATGCCAACACAACCATCGTAATCCTCTAGGAAAATTTTCCAAGCTTCCATTGACTTGTAAATAGTTGAGCTGCAAAAGTTTTAGTTTATGCATCCTTATAAATGCATCAACTTCCACAGCTATCTTATCTGAATTTCGTAGAGCAGTGCCTACTGTTTGCCGGGAAAAGATGCCAAAACAATGTCTTTTAAATGAATTTCCTACATTTGACAATGAAGATGTGCTGAGGAATTCTTCAAAATTACGTTTTCTATTGACACCAAAGACTGTTGTCCTGCCATATTTATCCCCCAAAAAATTCATATCAACTATGAGACCTTCAATTTTTCCTGTCCCCTGACAAAGAATGAGAGGGAGATGACATTGATCAAGAAGAGTAATGCTATACACACAAATTTTTTTTTTTTTTTTTAGGTACAAAATTGTCATACAGAATGATGTAACTTTTATTTCTAATAAAAACACCACCAATATAATTTATGAATGATTTTTTTCTTTTCTTGTATGAATTTTCTAAGTTCAGATCATTTTTTTATAGTAAATAACTACACAAATACATACAAATATAAATGAGGAGTAGGATTAATTCTTACAGTATTTTCTCTCAAGACATTGAAGGAGTCCTTATGATTCCAGAGTCTACTACGTTCTCCTGGCTCCTTGGGTGATTCTCGACGAACAATTTCTTTTCCCATTTCTTGAATCAATTGATGCATCACCAACTTTTTGCTTTCATCAATCGTTAACAGACATCTATCAATGAGATTTTGAATCCCAACTGTTGTGAAAAAATCACATCCATCTAGAATGGTAACTGCCCAATCTTCATCCATTCCAACAAAAAAACAAGCAACATGGAGGAATAAATTTTTGTCATGGTCATCTTGTAAAGAGTCATAGCTTATTTTGAGCTTTTCAACAACTTCATTATCGGGGATTGCTTTCAATTTTTCTAGTTGACTTTTCCAAACATTTAAGCTTTTCCCAAATAGAGAAGAACCCAAAATTTTAATAGCTATTGGAAGCCCTCCACAGTATTGTACCACCCTTTTCGAGTCCTCTATGAAACCATCAATGGGACAGTCTTTCCCAAAGGCATGCCAACTAAAGAGCTCCAAGGATTCATTGTAATCCAAATTTTCAACCTTGTGAACTTGGTAAACTTCATGAGCCCTTAGCAACCGCTCACGTCTAGTGGTTATGATGATTTTACTACCTTGAGAAAACCAATCTCGCATTCCTAGTACTGCATCTAATTGGTCCATTGTATCCACATCATCAACAATTACAAGAACTCTTTTGCAACATAATGCATCTTTAATTTTAACAATTCCTTCATCAACACTACACAAATTTTCCATTTTTCCCTTTAAAATGTCTGAAAGAAGTTGTGTTTGTAATTGAAGTAAACCATTTGGTTGTTTTAGAGTTTCTCTTACATTTGCAAGAAAACTACTACCTTGGAATCTTGAGAAGTTCGAATTATATAGAAATTTGGCAATTGTTGTCTTCCCTATTCCACCTATCCCACAAATTGCAACTATACCAACATCACTACACTCATCTTGTAACCAAAGCCCAATATTTTTGGCTCGATAATGCATTCCAATCAAGTAGGGGGAGTTGCCCAAGATTGTGCATCTTAGTTTGTCTGCAACCACTTCTACAATTTTGTGGATAAATTTTGACTCGAATCTAAAGATAAGATGAAGATTAAAAATAAAGCACAATAAGAATACCATGACTGGAACTTTATTATAAATTCTCATGCAATAATGAGCAAATGACTGTTATTCTCTTTGGTGAAACAATTGGACGAGTCCTAGATGAAAAGAAAAGGGTTTTCACAATCATGATTGTGCATCAATATTCTTTTTCTAATATAATTTGTTTTCTGTGTTTTGCAAAATTTTTTAATTTGTTATTTATATAGTAAGATAAGCTATTACATTTTTTGAAGAATAGTCTAATTTTTTTTCAATGAAATTTTTAGGGTTAATTATACCAAAACCCCTCAACTATTAGTATTTCGCGTCACAACTATGAATCCATACTTTTTTTGACCCTTTCAACTATAGAGGCGTATCATTTTCACCCCTCTAGACCACCTCTGGAATTAGTAAATTTGTATGATTTTAATACTTAAAGAGGGTCAATAGGTACAGATTCATAGATGAGGTAAAGTGATATACACCACTGGTTGAGGGGGTCTTTCTTGGTGTAATTGACCCAAATTTTTATGGTTGCAAATGAATGACTTCATATCATCTTTTCAAATAGATTAAAAGGGAGAAGCATACCAAAAAAATCGTAGTTAATAAATTCAAGTTTTTTTAGAGTATTATGAAGAACGTCCATACCGATTTGAAAAGAAATCAACTTGTAGTATGTTGGGATATTCCCTCGAGGACAATTTAACTCATGTATTTAAAGGTTAACTTCTAAAAATTAAAAGATGTCAAACTCTTGTATTTAAGAAAAAAAAAAAATTCGTCCCAAATTTTGATTAAATAATTCTTAATCTACAGACCCTCATAGGAAATACTTCTAATTATGAAATCCCAAAAAGGGTGGCGCAAATAACTCTTAGCTAAAAGAGGACATGGAAGGAAATTACCCATTAACTTGATTTTGTAAATTCATCCCTGCTAAATCTGCTGCTTCTCTGAGTGCTGCTCTCCATTCTTGTATTTTGCCCTTCCATTCATCTTTTTTTTCAGCTCCTTCTGTATGGAATCTCTCTTCATGCCTTGTGAATGCTTCTTCGAAACATTCCATTTGGTTCCTCACATGGGATGGATCCACGTGATAGAAGACAGGTAGCACTACATGCCCAGTAGTCCTACGTTTGAGGATCATTACAAGTTCATCAAGACACCAGCTTGAAGAAGCATAGTTTTTTGAGAAGACAACTATTGAAATCCTCGACTCTTGAATTGCTTTATGCAGTTCAAACTTAATATTTTCTCCTCTTTCAATCTCATCATCATCTCTAAAGGTGTGAAATCCTCTATGCTTTAAAGCTGTGTAGAGGTGGTCAGTGAATGTCATGCGGGTGTCTTCACCTCTGAAACTCAAGAACACATGATACCTACATGGAGAATCTGAAGAGGAGGCATCCTGGGCTCTAACAATCTCCATTGGATTAAAGCTTCACAAAGAATTAAGGAGAGAAGAGCTATGAGATGGAATGAGTTCTATCTATCAAGGCATCATATATATTTTATAGGAGATGTGACTATATGTAACCATATATCCAAGAGGAAGGACTGAGTAAAAAATAAAATAAAATAAGGTGTGGAAATGCTACCATAATTTACTTGTTGATTTATGATTTATCATGGAAGCTTCAAAGCTAGTGAAAAGGACATTGTAAGGAGTAAATGTCAGAATTGGTAACTAAAATATGTTTATGATATCATTAAAACTTATTAATTGGTTTAATGATTTATTAATAAAATTAGACATTTGTTATGTTATTAGAAATTTGAAGAGATAAAATGTAATTTTTAAAATTACTGGAGATAATATATATTTTAAATAAATTACATAATGCGAATTTGTAATTAATCCTAAATATAAAAATAAGGAAAAGGCTAGAGTCCCAGATGTATCCACCCAAAATTTTTTGAGTGGATAGTTGTATGGTGGAGATTAAATTTGTATAGTATGTGATCTATGTATAAAATAAATTTGAATTACAACATGCTAAGGGGTAAATTACACATTGCACCCTTGCACTTTGCACCAAATCCTAGTTTGACCCTTATACATGAAATCATGACTGTCAACCCCATGCACTTCTGGTCAAATTTCACTTTGGTTCTACACATGAAATTGTGACAGTCAACCCCCTGCACTTTTGGTAAAATCTCATTTTGATCCCTATACAAGTGTCAATGCACCCCTTCTGTTACTCCATTATTTAAATCTTTAATTGAATGCAGTCATATGACTAGAATATGACTACGAAAGGACGATAAAAGAGAAAATTCATCCTCATTTTTCACTAATATACACTTTATCTCAAAATTTATACCAAATTATGAATGCATTAAGATAAAATAAAACGCCTATTGAAAATGATTAAGAAGATGAGCCAGGGTTTTGCATCAATTGAAATCACATAATTTTGTTTTCCAAAGTAATACACTTTTCTGTCTATTCCTCTCCCTTACAGACAGAAAAGTGTAAGGGTAACTTTTTGATTTCTCTGCCACCTTTTTTGATTTCAAAAGCCTTATTTTCTTGCATTTTCGTCCAAATTTTCAATATATGAACATATATATTATATTATATAACTCTCACGTGCTTATCATGTAGGACAAAATATGTGTTAGTGGGAAATAAGGATAATTTTCTTCTCGTACTTTTATTTCGTAGTCGCATTCTTGTCACATAATAGGATTATGTTCAAGATTTAAACAATGGAGTAACAAAAGGGAGACATTGATACTTGTGTAAAGATCAAAGTGAGATTTAACCAAAAGTACAAAGGGTTGACTGTTATAATATCATGTTTAGGGACTAAAGTAAGATTTGGCCATAAGTATAGGGGTTGACTGTCATGATTTAATATATAGGGGTCAAAGTGAAATTCGATGCATAGTGTAGGGGTGTAAAGTGTAATTTACCTTAATTTTAAATAATTTTTGAATAATTAAATCAAAATTTATAGTATTATTGATAAAATAAAAGAACTGGAAGTGGAAGGTGAAGAGGTGGGCATACATGAAGATGCTGAGAAAGTGGGAATGCACAGGCACAAAAATTGGGTTTAGTCACACAACACCAACACCCCCCCCCCCGCCGCCACAAAAAAATTGTTCGGTCAAGTCAAGACAACTAACTATCATTATTATTTTTTAAATTAAAACTTCCTTAATTATTAATAAATAATAGTTTACTTATTCTCAATAGAACAAGGACAAGTGCAATCTAATATTTACAAAAGTAAATTTCATCTATCTACCAATTGAATTAATCCTCTTTAAATTTTCCTTCAAGGGAAGAGAGAGAGTGGTATGGTGATTCTCCCACTTTTTCGATCTCTCTCTTTTCTTTCTTTTTCCAATCTTTCTCTAGATTTGACATTTGTCTCACCAATCTAGTCATTACCGACTTACCTTCTCTATTCTCAGGTTCAAAACTTTACAATCTTACTTCAAATCTTCTCATAGTCTGAAAACTGACGTTGGATAACGCATTTGATTCACATTAGGCAACCACCTTAACTTTAATATTCTATCTTGATCAATAGATGATGAGTTTTCATATTCCAAGTTGAATGTTGCGGAGGAATGCATTTTCAGATGAGTTTTGGTAACAACTTGGATATGAATTTTTTCCTGTTTGATTTTTTTTTTTTCAATTTTTAGTTTGTTGATATAATAATCGCTCATGTGTAAAGGTTTTTTTTCCCTTGGTGAGGGTCTTTTCTCTTCTATTGGAGGCTGGGATCCTTCTATGGAGATTTTTACCTCTTTTTGAGATCTTGTGATACCGTTATACTAAATTGATCTGATCTTTTATCGGTTTTGCAATGAAATTTTTTTTTCCAATTAAAAAATAATTGAATTAATCAAACGCAATTAATGTTAACATGGAAAACAATCACTAAAAAGTACAAATAAATGTAAATGTTATTTGATGAAGAAACTACTGATATCTAATCAACTTGATTTTTAGTAAATATATTTTACTTGATATATTCTACAAAGAGAACGATTTAAATTATTAAAATAGGCCCCAAAATAGACCCAATTATCCATGCAACAATTATGCGCAACAACCATGCCATATCCGACTTTTGCCTCGTTTAACCAAATGCCTGTCCATTTTAATCTAAAAATTTCACAGCCAAGCAGTCTTCTCAATACAGAAATATTCACTTGGAGTGATTAGTAAAGTAAATTTCAACCACTACGGTTATACAGAAAATATTGGAGATTTTATATTTCATATATTTGTAATTGGGAAAATTATAAATTAGTGGGACAGTAAAAAAAATAATTGTATTATAGATGGGGCATTGAATTTTATTGCCTTCTTTCCTTCTTCCTCCTTACATATATCTGCATTTATTTTCCATTCAAAGAGAGTATAAACATATGTTCGCTGGACAAACAGTTTGTAATGCTCCTATTTGTTGTCGCGGATCATTTTATCCTGGAGATAGTGCTTCCGATAGCACCATGGGAAGGACGAATCTATCTTGAAAAAACAGTGTTAAACACTGGACTAAAGAAAAAATATTCTAAATTTTTCCTGTTTTCTGGTTTTATTGAATCTACATTTATTCTTCCCTTTGTGATTTGTTTAGGCAATAAATTAGAATCTTCATTTTAATTTTATTGCGTATTAAATCAAATTCGGTGTTTAGTGCATTAAGAGAATGCTGTTTTTCCAAATATAGTGAAGATTGGCTCACACAATCAACAAATGAATGGAATCATAATAAACAACGTTTTTGGCAATTAAAAATATAGTCTACTTCAATGGTGTGAACCGTTGAAAATGGTGTAGCCATTCAAAACAATATTGGTCCCAGTGGGGTAGTTGATCTTGACTCTCAAACTCCACTAGGATTGGAACAAAGCATATAATACCTCCCCTAGAAGAAAATAAACTCAATGAAATAAAATAATATAAGAGGGCAGGAAGTGATATGTTTGTTTTTTTTCCTTGCTATTTAAACTATTAGATTACAGTATCTGTTTGGGGATTTTCAAAAGTTAAGTTTTAGTTTTTGGATGTTTTTACAATCTTCCTTGGTTCTTCTGTGGAAAGTGACGTTTTTACAATCTTCCTTGGTTCTTCTGTGGAAAGTGACCCAATAACATGATTTGAAACAATTTTCATTAGTAAATTAGAGGCTATCTACAACATCAGAATTGAAGGTTTTGGGCCTATATTGAAAATTTTAATGAGATTTGTTTATGTATTTTTATATATTATGATTTTTTTTGCAAATGTTACTTTTGTCAATATAAATAATATATGCATTCAGAAAATAATTTAACCTTTTTATATAATTTAATAGGAAATTCTATAACACACTCTATTTTGTGGTGTGTATCATATGTACCAATTATGATATTTGCAATTTTTTTGTTATGACTTATTGTGGTGTTAATTATGATTTGGTTATAACTCGATTATAATTCATTATGATGTTAGTTATGACACATTGGGATGTTGGTTATGACCTAAATCATTTGTTATACTTCATGCATTATTTAGTTATGATTGAAAATAATTTAAGGGTTAATTACTTAAAGTCTTACTAGGAAGGTTGGTGTTCCATTAAGTCATTCTTCTTGTTTTTCTAAACCATGAAGTCATATTTTCAAAATATTTATGTATATATGACCGCTTTACCCTTATTAAAAGCGGAAGGAATTGAGAAGTGCTAATAAAAAATAATTAGGCGTTACAAGTACATCATATTACAATAGGGGTGCAACTCGGGTGAGTTCGGTCAGATTGGAAGGTTGTTCAAGCTTAGCTCAAGTTGTGCTGAGACTTACCTAAGGCCGAATTGTAACCCAAGGTTATTTACCCAAACCCAACCGAGTTAAACCCGAATTGTCCGAGTTGCCAAGATTGCACAAAAATTTTAGTACTTTTTTTTTTTTGGCAGCTAAATTATTAAATTATTAAAATTAAACTCTATTTACATTTTTTTTAGAAAATCATTAATAACATCAACACAAATAATTTATATAATGTAAGAGAAATGCTGCTATGGTAGTCTTTACAATTTATGAGTGAGAATTACTTGTGTTATAATATATTCAATATGATTTAATGATTTAAATTACTTTAATATCATGTAATGACTAATAATTTTTATTTATATTTAATATTTTTATATATCTACATATATAATTCAGATTTTGGGTTGTTTGATGCATTTGCCTAAACCCGTCCAAATTTTATTCGAGCTTTTGAAATTTTGCCCAAGCTCATACCAAATTCAATAATAGCTTGCTCAAGCCCTTGAAAAATTTGGACTGGGTACGGATTGAGCCCGTCCAAGTTGCACCATAAATGACAATGTTATCCACTAATCACCAAGAATTATGTTTCATGTTCCAATACAAAATTGTGGGCCCTAACCTCTCTACCAATCACAATCTGTTGGTAATCACCTAACAATGCTTCAAAAACACCTAGATATTTTCTCTTATTGAAATGGTATTGTTGATGTAGCATTTTTACTTTTCTTTTGTTATTTCAAAACCTAAAAATTTCATAAATTTTACTATACAAAATT